CTAGGCAAACAAAGCCACAGTGCAGGCCACAGGGTAAGAAGCCAGGCCAGAGAGGGCAGAGCCGGACCCAGAAAGTGAGGTTGTTGGGGAAAAAGTGACTGTTGAGAGGGGACGGGCCAGACAGTTCCACAGAGAGCGCATTTGGTGTGGAGACAGAGCACCAGGAAGCAGTGACTGGAGTGGGGACTCTCACCTTCAGAGGGAGAGACATTCACTGCCAGGAAGAGGCTGGCCAGAGGAAGTTCTGCGTTCAACAGTGAGAGATGTCGGAGCAATGGTCCTCCCAGAGGGGGGAACCTGGTGCTCCGTCCTGCTGGGAAAGGCAGGCACAGCTTTCAATACGTCCACCAAGATGAAGCTTTAGGATTTACCCTAAGGAACCAAATGTACATGGGCCCAAAGATGTGATGTGAGCACGTTTGTTAGTATCAGAATAGGAATAGTAAGGGAATGCAACCTGAAGGTCTCAGATAAACATTGAGACTGCTAGACAACCAAACACCATACAAATATTTACTTAAGAAAATATTCACAATGCTCCTACTTCTAAAAACTGTTCAAAAATGGGACTACCGAATTACTTTTAAAGACAACAGAGAGACAGAGACCCGAAAAATTCTCTCAGTAATATTGGGAGGTAGGATTAAACTGGAGTTGTATTTTCTTTTTTCTTGTCTACTTTGCAAACCCCAAAGCCTTCTGTATATATGCACTAGCTCTTAAAGCTGCCACAAACAGAAGAATAGACTCTTCTAAATCCATAATTAGAAAATAAAAACTGCATTCAAGAGAGAAAGGCAAGAAGATAGGTAGAGGGCAAGGTGCCGGGGTAATCTGGGATGGTGGGAGCAGCGCTCTGCATAACCCAGGGCCCAGCACAGGGGAGTGGCCACTCACCTGTCCTCCCAGCCAGTATCTTGACCAACTTGCCACTCCCTGTGGTTCCTACCAGAGCAGCCGCCTGACCCACAGGTCAGACATGGGAGCAAGCGTGAGCCGCCTTCTGAGGTTTGTTTTCTTAGCTTGCAGCCTCCTGTAGATCTAGACCTAAGTGTGCGAGGGCTTTCCCAGCTCTGTGGAACCGGGCACCACGGGAGGGCCACACTCAGGGTCACGACAGGGGGACCCAGGGTGGACACCCATCGGTGTTTTGTTGCTGATGTGCATATTTAACGTCCCTGTCTGTGATCAGGGCTCAGCCAACTGCTGGGCCACAAAATAAAGACATCGTGACACAGCACAGAGCAAAGGACATGAAGGAAGGAAACCACCGAGTGGTCTGAACCTTAAAATGAATTTTATTTTGTGTTTTAATCTGCTAGCATTCTCTGTGACAATCTAAAATACCAATCTGGTGATGAAAGGGAAGAAAGGAACCTTCGTGAAAGAACAAGCACATGACCGGGTCTGGAGGAGGGAGAGTCTCCAGCAGAGATGTTCCCCAGGTGTGACGTGGAAAGAGCTGCTGTCATGCAGCTGGCTTGGAAAATGGGGCGAAGCGGGTTTAAGAAATTACAGTCCTTTCTAACAAAGCAGAATATTCAGAACATGGGGCAATGAGTAGAGTCTTATGTTCATGYAGGAAAAACTAAAAAGTGATGCGAATTCCTACAAGGAGGAATGAAAATGTATTTCAAACAGATTCCCAACATGCCCACCTCCTCCCTGAGAGCCCACATCTGCGCAGACACACCTGCTGAAGGCACACGCGAGTCAGACCGCATATCCAGGGAAGCCAGCAGACACGCAGAGCCTAGGTCACCGAGATTACATTGAAATTTCGATTTATGTGAAGGAGCAGAAGAGAAAAGATCCCCACCAACAGCAGATTGGATTCCCAAACTCGAATGTCCCCCTCTTTGCTCTGTTGGTGTATTTGGGGGACTTCCTGTCAGAGAAGCCGAGGGAGCTCTGAGCTTGGTTTCCACGGTGCCCTGGAGGTGGGAATTTCGCCCTGACGACTGGAATTCTGCAAAGGCAGCCTCTTCCACACGGTAGTCTGCTCTGCACCTTCTCGAGCTCAAGCCACAGAAGCCGAGCCTGGCCCCAAGGCAGCAGGTGGGTGACGGCCAAGCACACCCAGGCTGGGGGAGCATCAGCACTCCCCCGGGCCTTCTGCAGAAGGGAAGCCTCATGCCTGCCACACCCACAGCGACCCCACCCCTGGGGTCAGCTGCATGCCCCCCAGGAAGCCCACAGGCCAGCCTGCAGCTGCAGCAGGTGACCACAGGGACAGCAGTGGTCTCTCCAGGGAGGTGGCAAGTCCTGGGGAAATTCTGATTGGTGCTCTTTTCTACAGTGACCCCCAAATGCCGCCTGGGCCAGACACAAGCTCTACCAGTGATGTGGCTCTGCACCCCAGAGCTGGACACACGCGGGTTGTTCAAGATGGGAACACAAGGGTCTCCACAGGGCCCTGACCTGCTGGGGCCTTGTGTGGAGGCTGAGCCTCAGACGGTGCCTGGTGCCATCTGCCTGAGAGTGCCTGCCACCTGGAAGCAGGGTTCCCCAAGCCCCTTGTTGTGGATCTCTGCATCAGTCACCCACAGAAAGATCATTTCCCTTCACTCGCTGCACGCGGACACCCAGCTGAGAGGCTACTTTCTTGGTGTGGAAAGAGGAGGAGTTAATGGACTGACCTCCAGAAGCCCAATGTGACTTTACTAATTTGAAGAAATACTTTCTGAAAAAGTGACAAATTTTAATTGCAAGCAAATAAATCAGTAAATTTCATGAAAAATCATGCTGATCTATGTGTCATTAACTAGATTTATTCAGCTCTTTAAAATAGATTTCTTTTTGACCAAACACCAATAAAATCATTTTCTCTGTGACGTAGGCAGGAGCTATGTACAAGGCCCCTTACTCTGCCTTTCGGGGACAGTTTAATTCTTGGTCAGGTAAGATGGGGATTAACCATAAAGAGGGCCAAAGAAGTGTAAAATTGCTCATGATATCTATAGAATCCAGTGTCACTGTCACTTACCACATGAACCTCTGCCTGTCAAGGAGCTTCCAGGGACTTTGAACAGGCAGCAGCTGCCTGGCTGCTGGGTGCTGCACCCGGGAGGGAGTGTGCACCCGGGAGGGAGCAGAACGCCCTGCTGTCCGGTCCCTCCCCCCCACACACAAGGTTCCCTTGCTGAGAAGGTGTGAATGTGATGACAATGTGCTCCTCCTGCTTCTGAAACCCAGGGTGCTCCGCCAGCGGCCAGGGACAACCAGACCAATGGTGGGTGTCCCTGTGCTGGGCCCTGAGCAGGGGGACTGGAGGGGGAGCAGGTGTGAGCCAGGTGAAGGGCGCCTAGAGCCAGACATTCCATCCCTACAGCTGCAGCACCCCTCACCCTCAGTGAGGGCTTGAGGACATGGGGGGAGGACAGAGCAGCCCCAGCCCTGTGGAAACAGCGCCTGCCTCCTCCCCCC